TTGGCAAAAGAAACATTTGACGCCCCATGTGGCATCATAATGCCCCACCCATCTGATCTGCCGTATGCACTAATGCCAGTGCTGCACACAGTGTGTGTTTACATTAAAAAGCCTGCAGGGACAGACTACAGACACCAGGACCCCTTAAATAAGCTGCAGTGGTTCTGGGGACTATAGTATCCCTTTAATGTGAGGTAAATTAGAGATTAGTGTCACTAATATATTAGATTGCCTACTTACTGTAAGGACACCTTTAAATGTGGGAACCAACTTAGCAGAGAAATAATGAAAGGACACGATGAATGGAGCAATCAAGAAAATATGTATTAAAGAAAACCAAAGAATATAATATACAAAAACAAAATATGTACAATGCCACAAGTTTATATATATATAAATACACACACACACGAAATCAATATAAAAACAAATAGAGCAGGCAGAGTACACGTGATAGTCTTTAGGCAGGATCGTGCAGCCACCACAGAATATAAGTGGGGCACGGATCCTAAGCCACCAAGCGCTAAATAAACACCAAGGAGCAAAGCCCAAAGCAGGTCACACGTAAATAAGGCAGCAAGGTCAGAATCACTGGAAATGAAGTAGAGGCAGGACCACTGCAAGCGAACACTGGAACGGGAGGCACAGGACACAGGACCAGGCAGAGGCGAGAACACAGGACCATAAGGACATCGGAACAGGAACACAGGATCAGGATACACAGGATACAAGACACAGGAGCAAGGAGTCAGAATCACGGGAACCAGGAAACAGCAGGTACAGGATAAAGGATGAAGGATAATGATCTGACAGGGATTGAGGGGAGAAACCAGAATATATAGGTGCTAAACAAGGGCCAGGCGTAGTGCTTAACGAAAAGAAATGAGGAACAGTGCCAAACAGAAACAGTGGTGAGTGTAAGTACTGCACAAGGGCATATTAACTAAGGAGTGTTGTGACACTTACAACCAGATGAGGATGATGGGCTCTGGCTCCACTGGTCTGGTGTAGAGCAGGATCTCTGGAGGCTTTAACTGTGGTCATAAAATTCAATGTTCTGGGAGAACTGGAAGTAGCTCCATTTTACCCTTACACAGCCCAAAGTCTGGGCCCCAGGGCTTGATAGTGAGTATGCCTATAAGTCCACCTATATGTTCCGCCCATGAGTTCGCTCACAGGGAGTGGTGTCTTTAGGGGATGTGTTATTGTAGAGGATCTAATGTGTGTGCTTATTGAATGTAGTGTATAGGAATACCAGTGTGTGAGGTGGAAGCAGTGTGTGTAAGGGATAGAAAGCAGTGTGTGTTTGTGTGTAAGAGATTGTTAGGATTACAAGTTGATCCAGCACGTAGTATCGGATCGCACCTAGGACTAACGGGTAACGTCTTACTGGGCCTTAGAATGGCCAGACTTAACGTACCAAAGAATAGTCAGAATACTTGCCGAGGTCAGGGACACAGAATGAGACACAACGATGAAGGAAAGCCAAAAGTCAGGGATACCAGAATACAGGGAAGTTAAACGAAGCCAAAGTCAATAACCAGAATTAAACGCTCATAAACACACTCTCAGGCAACCACTAGGGAAACCACGACAGGGCAATGAGGAAAGGTAACAACAGAGTTTAAATATGTTTCCCTTTACTCTGACTGAAATCGGCCTTTGACCCCAGAACGTGCGTGTGTCTCACGTGTGACGCACATGCCTGCCGACATCGCCATCAACATGGTCGGGCGTGGGGCTATAATTTGGTGTGGATTTGCAGCGGCCGGCGTCCATCAACATGTTGCAGGAGTCAGGTACACTGATGAATGGCCGCTGAGTGTTGTGTGTAAGGGATGCATTGTGTGAATCTATGTTTGTATGCATAAGGGATCCAAGGTGTGTTTCTGTGTATGTAAGGGATGCAGTGTGTGTCTGTGTGTAAGAGAATCATTGTGTTTGTGGGTTTGTAAGGGATGCATTGTGTGTTTCTGTGTATGTGTGCAAAGGATGCATTGTCTTTGTGTGTAAGGGTTGCATTATATGTGATGGGTGCATTGTGTTTCTCTGTTTTTAAGGGAAGCATGTTGTGTTTCTGTGTATAGTGTAAAATAGGTTTTTAGAGGTTTTTTGGGGTCCTACCAGGCACTTTGTGCTTCTCTTTCCCCCCTCCCCCAGTCTCTCTCCTTGCCCCACTGTCCCTTGGTGATCTCCCCTGTCCCTTAGTGATCCCCCTGACGCTTTCCTGTAGTGCTCTCCTCTCCTCTCCTGTCTTTTAGAGCTCTACCCTTCCCCTTAGTGGTCTCTATTCTCCACCTCCCTTAGTGTTCTCTCCTCCAGGGCCAGACTGCTAATAAAAAGCAGCCCTGAAAAAATTCGATACCAGCAGAGTGTGCAGATATGGAAGCGGGGGAGAAAAAAACCCTTAAAACTGAAAACTATCACTCAAACATGAAATAAAGCACTCATAGGGTTTCATAATAAACAAAAGAGTGGATTTGTTGTAAGTATTCATGCATTTTCATATAATCAATGCTTCAGTCCAACTACCTTGATATATTAAGAAAATTTTCGTAATAGGACTGAAATGGAGAATGTATGCTATTGCAAACCAGTAAAAAAATGTTTTATCTTGTGTGGTTTTTTTTTTTAAGTAATGAGTGTACTCTTCACTTTGACTTAGAACTGGATAAATTTCAGTCAATGCCAATTCAATTCCTTTAGGAAAGCATTGGGGTGCTATTGCTGTGCTTCACCACATTAATCCTCATCTCCATGCAGAGTGTGCAGCACTGGACTAGGAAGCAGTTCTAGTGGCCGTCTGAGTGACTGTCACTAGAAATCTGCCTAGGCAGCAATGTAGACACTTTCTTTTCTCTGAAAAAGTAACATTTACAGTGTTCAGCCTACAGGGACAGGCTATAGACACCAGAACCACTACATTAAACTGTAGTAGTTTTGTGACTATAGTGTCCCTATATTACAACTTTTCTCTGACCGGTCGACTCTGAGTTAGAGGGAGAGCAGGAGACACAAGTGAAGATGCATTTTGTTTGTGTCTTTCTCCCCCAAATCCCTGTCATGTATCTCTTAGCCTCACCCCCATTGTCTTTCTCCCTTTCCCTAGCACTTCTGTGAGTCTCTTTCCCCGGGCCCAGTACCTCTGTGTATCTTCCCCCACATCTTCTCTTTGTGTCTCATTCTTTCTTTTCCCAGACCATCTGTGTGTCTCTTGTTCGTCTTCCTCAGCTCCTCTATGTGTCTCCTGTTCCCCTTTCCCATCCCCTGTCTCTTTCTCCCCAAGCACACCTCTGTGTGTCTCTTTACTCACCAGCCCCTCCATGTGTCTCATTCCATCCTCTCCAGTCTTCCATGTGTCACAGTAGCCCCCATATGTGTCCCATTAGCCCCCAGCCCTCTGTGTCCTATTAGCCCTCTCTCCATCCATATAGCTACCCCATCCCACTAGCCCTCCATGTGTTCCTATACACCCTTCCCAGCCCTGTATGTGTCTCATTAGCCATCCAATGTGTCTCAGTAGCACCCCAATGTGTCCCAATAGGCCCCCTCAGCCCTTCATGCGTCCCCTTGCCCTCCACCCAGCCCTCCATGCATCCCTATGCCCTCCTTCACCACATGGTGCAATTACAGGGTGATCGACAGGAGAGGATACGCTCCCCTCCTGCCGGTCACAGAATGTAGCGTGGCCAAGCAGGCAGACTGCAGTAGAGGAGTACAGGAAGCAGTCATGTGAGCACTTCCTGTCAGACCGGGTAGGGGAACAAAAACTCCTCTACCGCGGTCTGCCTGCTTACATCCTGTGACCGGCAGGAGGGGAGCACATCCCTTCCTGTTGGTAACCCTGTAATTGCGCCATGTGGCTCGCGAGCCGGTGCGCACTAGGCAGCCATACACCGGCCTGCTAGTATGCCGACACCCCGTAAAATGTCCCGGTATCCCAGTGGGCCAGTCCGGCCCTGCTCTCCTCTTCTCCCCCCATTTCCATTAGTGGTCTCTCGTCTCCCACTTAGTGGTCTATGCTCTCTTCTGTGCCCCCCCCTTTGTGGTCTCTTCCCCCCACCCTCCTTCAGTGGTTTCTCCTCTCTCCCCCCATCTCCTCTCCCCCACACCCCTCCCTTAGTAGTCTCTCCTCACTTCCTATGAGTCCGGATGCTCCAGTACCACGGACCAGAAAGGAGCTTGGCCATGCTACACTGAGGGACTGACAGGAGTGTTGTGTGCTTCCCTCCTGCTGATCCCTCATATCTTGGGTCCCCGGGCAGTGCTGCAGCCGCCTGAGGCTCTCAATAGAACACTCAGACGGCTGCAGCATAAGAGGGGCCAGCGATCAGGGCACACCCTCCTAAGTGGCACCCTTGGCGGCTGCCTAGGTCACCTTATAGGAAGCGCTGGCATGCGTAGAACCCACTACCGCCCACCTGGAATCCTGAAACAGCCACAAGTGGAGAGTAGGGACCAGGTTGATGACCACTGCTGTACATGGTCCAAGCAGGGCCTGTTTGCCCATTGGCAGCAGTGGGGCTCTGGCTCCCGATGGCACTTTGACAGAAGCATAATTTTGCAACCGCTGTATACTGTGCAGGGCCCAGGCTCAGAGTGCTCACTTTCTTCCTTTTAGAGAAACAAGTTCCTCAACCCTTGTACATGGCTAGGTCATGCTGAAAGAGGGAGGTGGGCAGGCATGGGGGGAAGGGGCAAAAATAGACGCAATGGGGCTGGGGGGCAAAGAGAAAAACATGGGCTAGGGGGAAGAGACTCTCACTGGGCTGGGGGAGGAATGGATACAGAAATGAACTAATACTTTGCATAACACTTTGCATGTGGGTGTGGTTTTGTTGAGGGGGAGGAGGGGTGAGGAACACATTTCATCCTTGGACCCAGGCAGCACAATATTTTGGACCAGCCCTGGGTCTAAGCACAGTAAGCACTTTGGAACACTAGCATGGTGATGGTGCTAGGAGTGCGTTGACTACAAATATTCTGATTTATTCCTCCAGCTGGTGTACTTTCCCGAGCCATTGTCAAAGGATGTGTTACTAAAAATATACCCTGTGACTACATGGGTTCTCTCGATGTTGGTGGCGCTAATGCTTCTACATTTAAAGTGAATATTGAATGCTGTAATGAGGACAAGTGCAACACCTTTAATTATAAGAGTGAGTGCCCTTCATTTTTTTAAAGCTACTTTTAAACATTATGATAAATATATTATAGAATTATACTATCAATTTATGAACCTACAAGGTGACCTGTTAAAGAAGCTGTAAAGAAATGTACTATATTTTTTTAACTCACAGTTCCAAAGGAAAGCAAAAAATTGAAAGGAAAAACTTGTCCAACTTGCTTTAAATACAACTACAATGAGAAATGTGTTCCAGATGCTAATGTAATGTGCAGGTGGAAAAAAGACAAGTGCTTCTCCTATGTTGGTACCACACGTGACACAGGTAATTTATACAGATTTCAGAAAATGACAAATAGCTGCAACTATATAATTGTATAATGCTTGTTGGATATGAGAGAATGGATTGGTATTCTGTATTGAAATTATTACTAGTATTAACTCCATAAGCTGTATTTGGGCATATACAGAGAAGTGTCAGTTGGGGACAGAACCAGAGGTACATTGCTGGTAATCTAATGATCACAGAATAGGAACTATGCAATTTTTTTAAATTAACTTTTATATAAACTTGTGCAGAAATACGGAGTGCACATTCAGGAACAAAATACAGAAAAAGCATATCTTCATCCTTACGTTAAAAACATTTTAGACCATAAAACAATAACGGGAGAAACGGAAAAACAGAGGAAAAAGATACATGATGGAATAAATGCATAATAAGGAGAGAGACTTTAAGGAAATATGTAATGCATTTGTTTACAGATATAAGGAAAAATGAGGTTCAAGGAACACTCCCTTTCCTAATTAAAAAAATAAATCTTCAAAAACATACATGCATTTAATTATGTATTTTTATAATTTTAAGGGGAATATCTAAACATTTAGCAGAAGTGGCAGATCTTTTGTCTGCAGCATTTGTGAGCCTCCCTTTGAACCAGCCAAACTTTCTATGGATGTCCAATCAGACTTCTCAATGTAACTCTATGAGAAGTCTTTTGAAGCAGGTACTCTGAGCTAAATAAACCTGGTGGGGGTTAACATTTTTAATTTTTAAAAGTGCCAATTCTATTGAAAACTGCACTTTTGTAAAATGAAATGTGGACACTTTTCACACAAAGTACTTCAGCAAGCTGAAGTGCTTTAGGGGTCTGGAGTGTCCCTATACATCTGAATCATCTGTAGCCAAAGAAGTAAAGTAGCAGTGTAGACATCTTCAGCTTTAATTCCTATCCTGGCTCATATTAACTATGGAACATTCCTGGAGAACTTGAAGATGTACTTGATGTCAGAGAACCAGAATGAAACTCTTTTGCAGTACTGAACATATGTTTCAACAATGTTTTCTTTAATTTAGCAAAAAAATCTAAGCAAAAACAATGATTTCAAAACTTGCAACAAAGCGAAGGCTAGATTCTGTTCCTAATAGTTAAGCATTTAAAATGCCAGCATATGTTTGCAGTTTAAATACTGACCTAGTCAATGCTTGAGTTTAAGATCTGTGCAAAACGTCTGACCATTATTTAGTATTTAACATTTTGTAAACTGACAAACCAGACATAAGTGTGTCAGGCGCTTCTATATTCTAACAATATATCACCACAGTGTAAAAGTGTATGTAGTGAATACTAAGTATAAATTATAATTGTCTATTAAGTCAAATTGGACAGTCTCCCAAGATCATTACCCAAAAATTGACCTTATGTTGCAGAGTATATAGAAAAAAGACGTTTGGAATACGGCTGTATAAATCTAAAAAAAGAAACACAAACAAAATATAGTGTAATACAATTAAATAAATAAATGTGCACAATAAGTGGATGCACTCACAAGATGAAGACATATAATGCGCTAAGGGGTGCCTCACCCGATGTTATTGGGGGCTGTTAATCCTTCCTTCCGGTCCGTATAGATATATATGAAACAGGACTCCAATGGTGAAGGCATAAAATGGTCAGCAGCTTTATTGTGAAAAAGGTGAACAATCGCCCACAAATAAATAAAACGGAAAGAAATAGGTCCTACGAGTTTCGTTCCAAGCTTGGAACTTCCTCAGGCACCATAAAAGCAAGAAAATTACTACACTAACAATTGTTATGACAAAGCAGCCTAATACCCCCCACCTACAAGTCCCTTTAAATAGGGCTAGTCCCTATGTCCATTGGTGGATCCGTGGGTGTTGCTTCTATATTATAGACGTTAAATGATTAAGAACTGTTATAAAGGAGTGTTCCCTACCACTCTACGTAAAATCTACAGTTCAAAACATAAAATATATACCAGTGTCAAACATGTGGGTGTGTGACACTGGTGTATAAATGGTATGTATTGAACTGTAGATTTTGCAAACTGACACCAACAAAAAGCTGCATTTTCCAGTTCATAGCCAAACTGAAAGCATAGCTGACTTAAAGAATTTTTCCAGGTTTGGCTATTTTAACCTTCAATTTGAATGAATTCACCTTGAAATATCACTTTAGTAAATAACACTTTGCAAATAACTTTGTGACCATCTGTTATGGATGTGAAAAAGTCACTTTAACACAATATGTGTGCTTTTACACCCATAACGCCCAAAGTTATTTGTTCACCATTCCCTGCATTAATGCCAGTTTTAAGCACTAACATGGTTTATTACCTAACCATTAAGATTCAGGAGGTAGATTGATGGGTAGCAAATGGGCTTGAAGGAGGTATGTTATTGTGGAAGCTGTTTTGTGGAGGTTTCTACAGTTGTGGTTTTGGAGTGCTTTGGGGAAAAACCTGCAGCAGACTAGGCACAGACTAGGCACAGAGTATTACAACCGATACTCCATTTGTTTGCAAATACTCCCAAAACCCATGTAATTGAAATAAAATATAAAGGGGGTGGGAGGGTTTTTTTTATATATATATATATATATATATATATATATATATATTGTGGTGCAAAATATTATTACTGGTTTCTAATGTGATTTCCCCATTTTGTAGTATTTTAGAAATCTAACACCATGACTCACCTCTCATTCTACCATACATGTGAAAAAAAAATCATACTATCGCTACATAATAGTAGATTCTACCTTTTTAACTACTGTGACTGTATCAAAAACCTTGTATGATGAAACTTCCTTTCCTTGCATTGTAAAGGATACAGATTGATGTATGTTTTATGTATGAAGGATGTTCCCAGTAGAGTCAGTGAATTAACCTGGGACACACCTTTATAATAAATTATAGTTTAGACACCAGAGGGTCACTTAAGGCAAAAAGAAAAAAAAATAATATTATTGGGTTTACTGACAGTCAAGTCTCAGGTTTGATGTTTTTTAAAAAAAAATTGAAGTCTATACATATTGACTTCAGTGCGGCTTCTCACACCAGGACATGATATCCTTGTTTACTCTACTGTATGTAGATGGCACACCACATCATGTGGGCACTGGTGAAGTCAACAAGGTATTCCAGGTGACAAGAGTTCTTGGCCTGAAACCAAGAGGTTGTTTTCTTCAGCATACAAGTTCCAATATAAGAAACCCGGTAAATTGTCAAACTGTGATACAACGAATTACTTACACTGGGACACTACCAGGGAAGAGTGAGTTTTTGGCTCCCTGTCTGACATTTCTGGTGAGTAGACTTGTAGCTAATGCAGGATTTACAAACCACTTCTCTTCTAAGCCACTTTCATCAAGGAGAACGGCTTCTATTTTTGAAATCTAAAGAGGTATGTTTTGGCTGGCACCCATACAAAAAACTTCCGGAGCAAAGCTCCAAAGCAAAATCTTAATTGGGTAGACTTTTGCAAAGCCCAAAAATTTGTTTGCAGCTATTCACGTCTGCTGCAAATAACAAAACAGAGAACAGAATTTCATCCACGTTGTGGCTTGCATGAACATTTTGTTAACTGAATAGTTCACATGCCTATTAGTGTGCTGCCATGCAAAAATGGCTATTAAGTTGACTAAATGCTTGCCCTAATGGCTAAATAATATCAGGGATTTTAGCAATGCTAAATCTGAGTTGGTAAAATTAGACCAATGCATCTTGTTAAAATAGTTAAGTGAAATTTTTTTTATAATTGCAATTATTTTTCATTTTGCCATCTTGTATTATTGAAAAATTGGATGTAGGATTAATTTCAAGGTGAGAAGTTTTTTTGTTTGAGTTTTTTTTTTTCTCCCAAGAAAATTGAAAGGAAAAAGTCAGTACTTTTGTAACAAAATTAACAGTTTATTGAGCAAAAATAAGGTTGGCAATTTAGCACATACAACAACTCATAGCCAAACTGAGTATTTCTGTATACATTGTATTTTGTCAAGTGAAACAGGTTTCAGTTTTAATGATGGATGAGAACAAAGGGGCCCAGAAAAAAAAATCCTTCCATGGGATGAGGTGAATATATGGGGTATCAGGGCATAGATTAAACTAATGTTGATACACCTCCAGGTTCATCTCATTATGCATTTCATAGTGACTTAATCTCCCATGGTCTTTGAACATGGTGTACCACTTTTTTGAAATCTTGTCATATCGGGTACAGCTTTGGACTGAGATAAGACCTTCAGCTCTCTAAACGTGTCTTATTTATTGTATTTTTGTTTTGTTTTTTATATAATTTTTATTTATTGCAGTTTTGTCAGAGGTACAACAGCATTTTTTAGACAAAGTGATGCATTCAGTCAACATAACAGGATATTGAACATTTCCAATTGTATATTGCACATATCAGCGTTCTGTATGGACTATGTGCGAGCCGGTTTGTGGTGTGGTCTGTGAATGGCCTGAACTTCGTGTTTCAGCCGTCAGATAGAATTATTTCGTAGGAACTGGACCCAAGGGTCCCATATGTGTGTATATTCTTGGTACTGATGTGTTAGTGAGTAGCATGTCTCTTCTAGGTTTCTGATAGTTTCTACCTTTTGTAACCATTCCCGTGTAGTGGGTGCATGTGGCCGTTTCCAAAGGGCAGGGATGAGTTGATTGGCTGCTGTGATGAGATGTATCAAAAGTGTTCTCTCGTGTTTATGCATTTTTGGGGGTGGAAGGAGA